GGGAGGGAGTAGGGGTGGGGGAGGGCACTGGTTGGCCTGGTGCTCAGGCTGAATGGTTTGCAGAGCTGCATCGATGACTTCCGGGAGATGGTGCAGCAGCTGCTGGAGGCTGGGGCCACAGTCAATGCCCGTGACAGTGAGTGCTGGACACCCCTGCATGCTGCGGCCACCTGCGGCCACCTGCACCTGGTAGAGCTGCTCATTGCCCGGTAGGGCCCGCTGGGAGCAGGTGTGGCCAGACTGGGCATCTGTGTCAGGGAGGGGCTGCAGCTAGGCAGGGCATCTCATCCACAGGAAGTATACCTTTGCCTCTTTTGTTCCTATTTACTTTTGCTTATTGCCTGTGTCCTGTCATGGAGAGCTGGGCCTGGGCAGGGGACACACAGACTCAGGGCAAAGGCTTTCTGCCCTCCCAGCTGCTTACCTGGGTATATCCTGCCAGGTGCTGTTAGGAATTTGGGAATCCCTTGAGGGTAAGCCTTAACCTCCAGCACAGGCCTCCAGGCCTCCCCAGGTCTGTACAGAGAAATACCATTCCGGTCAGTGATGAGGGTAGAATTGGCGAGGGAAGGGGTACCTGGAAACAGGTGGGGCCTTTAACATGAGAAGGTAAATGGGATGACGGTCAGCTTCACCGGGATCTGGGAGTCCAACCCCCCACCGTGGCCCCTCAACTCTGACCCCTCTAATAGGATAGACAAGGTTAGGTGCTCAGACTGTGGAGTGGTCCAGGAATCGATGGTGTGTGTCCATGGGAGAGGCTGCAGTACTGAGCCCCACTCCTCTCCTCTCCACAGCAGGCATCTACCCCTGTATTTTGGGCCCCCCTCAACCCCCACATGAGCCCTGCTCCTTGCAGCTCTGCAGGGCTGTCTTGGTGCTCAGGCTCTCCTCCCTGGGGCCTCGAGAGTCCCAGAATCCCACTCCTGGCAGGTGGGCCCACTGTGCATGTTCATGGGGGCTGATGGGTACCAATAACCTGGAGACACAGGTGGAGGCTGCAGGACATCTACCTGGCTTGAGGACAGGATCCAAAACTGAGGGGCATCAGACAGGCCCAGGGACAGCCCCACAGCGTCCTGAAGGGCAGCCCTAGGGCTTCTGCAGAGGAAGGACCTCTGAGAGGGAACTGAGGGGCCTCCCTTGTGGGGAGGTGAGAGCGGACCTGNTGAGAAAACCAAAGATAGCATGTGTTCTGTGAAAAGCTAGCTGCTATTCTAGGTGGTTTTCTATAGGATGTGGGTATCAGAATCCCTTTTCTCATATAAAATGATGATATTTCCTAAGTCTTGTTAAACTTAACAAAATCAGGCAGTGGCTCTGATGTTGGCGCCCATCTTGGAGAAGTGAAACTGGTTCCCAAAACCCTGTGAGCCAACTCTGCTGGGGAGCCTTGGCCCATGGGGATGGCTTTGTCTGCGAGTCCTTCCCTCTCCCATGGCTGGAGACTGGGCCAGGCAGAGGGCGGTGTGCCCTTCCCCTTGCTACTGGTCTCTTGGGGTGGGCTGTTTGGGTCAGTTTCCCTGGCAGGCCCAGAGACTGATGGCAGAGATAAAGGTTCCACCTTGCATCCATATGGGGGGTTGGTGTGGGGGTGTCCTAGCTCTCGGGCAGAGGGGCATGAGGGGAGCTGTGAGTGACCAGCAGGGGAGGAAGGAAGGGGCATCTTGCAGGGAGTGAGGGATCTGCTGTTCCTCAGGTGTGGTCTAGGAGCTGGCAGGTGTCTGCAGGACCTGGCCTCCAGCCTGTCTCACTGTGGGGAGGCTGTGTGCCTGAGGGCAAAGGCAGGACTTGGGGGCCCGTGCGGGGAGTCTGGACAGCTTGTGTCTGCCCCTGGCCCCAAGAGTGCAGAGGTGGCCAGCTGGGGACAGGCCGCTCAGAACAGGAGTGCTGCCTGGAAAGATGTTTCCTGGGCCTTGCTGGTCCCTAATTCTGTGCCCACGAGCCACCAGGGCCAGGCTAGCAGAAGCCAGAGCACCGGCAAAGTCCAGAGCAGGTCAGACCTGTAAAGTGAAGCTCCCAGATACACTAGAGGTCCTGAAGCAGGAGGAACCTGATCTAATTTGATGTGGCCCAGGACAGAAAGAAGGAGGTACTCACTGAGCTCAGTACAAGTCTGGCCAGAGGAAGGCTGGGTCAGATCTAGATGCCACAAAGCCTAGCATAGTGAGAATGGGGACTCCTGATAAGTTGTGAGTAAGCACCTTCTGGATGGAATTCAGCCAGGCCTCCTGAGGCATGTCATATGACCATACCCAATGACCACACCTGGAGTACTGGGCAGGACAGGCCATGGTGGGTTCTACATGGCCATGCCCTAGCCAAGCTGCCTGCCTATCTTAATAGATCCCAAACCTGGTAGGCCACTCAGCCCGTGTCCACATGATAGGCGCTTTTATTGCAGCCCAGGATGGCTGGGGCATTGACTCGACTGGGCTAGGGACCTGGGGAGGGAAAGGCCCAGATACTGGGCAATGAGGGGCTGGGGTGTTGGTCTGGACAGGCTGTCACCCTGTTTGGCCTAAGTCCCAGGAGGCAGGGCCTGCCCTTGAGGCAGTTCCTGTAGAGCCCAAGGAGAAGGCACTTTGCCTGGCCCAGCCTGGGGGCAGACAGGTCAGATGCTGTGGGGACCAGGGCCAGAGCCTGGAGCCTTGGGAAGCAGCAGAGAACAGCTCCTGAAGCAGGCATCACGCCCTGGAGGGCAGCCTCCTGCTCCCTTCTCAGCCTTTTCAAACATGGTGTGACTCAGAGTGGGGCAGAGCAAGCTGTGCCCCTCTCCCCCACCAGGACTGTTGTCTAGAAGAGCTCACACAGGACAGGGCCCTGGTCTTACCTGCTAGCCGCTGGGAGCCTAGCCAGCCCTCCATGTGCTGCTGCTTCTTTCTCAGGCTGGTGGAGCTGCCCTCCTGAAGACAACTGCCAAACCCGCTGTGCTCTCTCTCAGTGCCCTGGCTGCTCAGAGCCTCACCCCCAGGCACCATGTCTAGGACCCCAGGACTCTAAGTACACACCCTGCCCTGGCTTCTAGGCAGCTGCTGAGCCCGCCCTCCTGCCACACCTTCTTGTTAGTGCTTATGCACTGACCCTGGGAGACAGACAGGAGGAGGCAGAGGGCAGGGAAAGCCAGGCCATGGCTTCTCCCAGGCCCCACCCAGGCTTCTGAGGCTTGGAAGGAAAGGGGGCCTCTAGGACTCCCAGGGTCTCCCAGGGTCCTCTGCCCATTGCCCTGCCCTCCTTTCTCCTTCGGTGAGCTGCCAGGAAGCTGCAACTTTGTTATCTGGGTGATTAGCTGCAGACCCTGGACTAAGGCTGACAGGTCCTGTTGCTTCCCACAGGCTGTGCACCCTGACCCCAAGAGGGAGGGAGGAAGGCCCTGCCCTTGAGCAGCCAAGCTACCAGGGCTCCTGAGAGGTGGCTGCTAGCCCTCCCACGCTGCCTTTTCTGCCAGGGGCCTGTGCCCCTTGGGCTGCCTGGGCCTGGTCGCGGAGTGGAACCTCCTGACCCAGCCTTGCCAGGGGCAGAGGGCACCAAGCTTTGACGAGGGGATGCCCCCGAGGGTGCCAGTCCAGCCAGCTGCCCCACCCCTCAGGCCCAGCCTGGCTCCCTTGTTCCCCCGTCTGGTGCCCCGAGCAGCTCCCCCGGCAGGTAGCCCCCACCATGGCCGAGCACCTGGAACTGCTGGCAGAGATGCCCGTGGTGGGCAGGATGAGCACCCAGGAGCGGCTGAAGCATGCCCAGAAGCGCCGTGCCCAGCAAGTGAAGATGTGGGCCCAGGCTGAGAAGGACGCCCAGGGCAGAAGGGGCCATAGGGAGCGGCCACGGAAGGAGGCAGCTGTTGGCCGACCGCAGAAGCGTGTCCTCTTCCCTCCCAGCGTCACCCTTCTTGAGGCTGCTGCCCGAAATGACCTGGAAGAAGGTGAGTGTGGCTGACCCTAGGGTAGTGCACAGCCTGCATCCCTGTCCCTGTCACCTGGCACAGTCCTCGTGAGACCTGCCAAGGGCACAGCTGCATCTTATGGGGCTCGAGGTCTGGCCCAGTTCCCTCAGCTATGGGCTGCAGGTGATGGGGCAACATTCAGGGTTCCTGCTTCAGAGGCAAGGGCAAAGGGAGTGGGCTCCTAGGAGCCTGGAGAAGTGTCTAGGGCTTGACTCCAGTGGGCTGGTGGTGGCCCATTCTTCCTGCCTCTTGCTAGGGTACTGCGCAGTGCTCAGGAGAGTCTTGGCCACCAGCTGTTGAAAGTCCTATGGGGAGCAGGGCTCCTCACACAGTCGGCCCTCTGGATACCTTCCTCTCTGTCAGAACCTTCCTGGCCTGAGCTTTTGGCAGGCTTCCTGTTGCTCCCTGTGCCCAATGTGCTCACGGCCCCTCTACTTTCCCAGAGGCTCCTGAGGGTTCTTCCTGCCTCCCTCCAGGTTAGGGGACTCTGCTACAGAGTGGGTGCAGAAGGCCCAAGGCAGGGGAAGTGGACAGGGTGCGGTGGGTGTGTCACAGGGCACAGGGAACTGTGGGAAAGAAGGTGCATCCTTGTGTTGCCTACCAAGCACCATCAGGGAGGTCCAGACCCCCAAAGAAGTCCCAGGTGACCTTGGTGAGAGCCTGGGACCAAGGTGGGGCTGCTGAAGAGTGAGGGTCGGGACCAGTTCTGCTCATAGGGAGACCCTGGAGGGACAGGCCTGGGCACCTAGGGCCCACACTCCAGGCTACAGTAGGGCCAGGAGCTTGCAGTGTGGGGAGGGAGGCTGCAGGTACCAGGGAAGGGTGTTTGTAGGGATGGAGTGGTCTGCCAGTGGAGAAGGCTC